TGGGGGCCCTGGGTGCGCGCCCTCGTTTGCCCCAAATCCAAGGCCGCCCGCCCCCCCCCCGCAGGGGCTGAGAAGGAGGGCCCAGCGGCTAGTAAAGCACGTCCTCGAAGCGAAGCAGCACGAACTGATGCAAGGCGGGCGGCAGCTGCAGGAGAGGCAGGGCCTGGAGAAGACGGCCTTCCAAGCAGCTGCGAAGAGTGCAACGGGCCAGGTGCTGCAAGGTGCGGGGGCTCTGGCCTAGGGCGAAGAGGGACTGGAAGAACCGCGGATGCTGCTGCAAGAAGGGAAGCGGAGGCGTGAGAACGGGCAACACCACTCCAACACGAGTGCCCCTTCATGCTCCGAAGCCCTGGGGTCACCCGTGGATCAGGCCATCTGCTGGGCCTCGGGACGTTCGTGCCACGGCTCCGGGCCGGGCGCGCACGCTGACTCACCTGCACCAGCTCTTCTGGGACAGCTTGCTGCCACGCCTCCGTGACGGGCACGCGCACATAGCAGTTGAGTAGGACCTCGACGGTGCGAGGCGAAGCACAGCAGTGGCGTAGCACCTGCCGAGGGCCGAAGAAGCGGGGGAGCTGCGTAAGTGCCGAGCACAGGCTGGCTGCCTTGTCCTGGAGCTCTAGTCCCCTGGAAGGAACCCTGCCTGAAGCTTGAGGTACCGCTGGGCCCAAAGAGCGCAGACGGGACCCCTTTCCCGTGCTGGCCTCGTTCTCCGCAGCTCAGGTTCACCCCAGGGAGCAGCCGCCGCCCTATCTCGGGATGAGAGCCGTTTGCCTTTGCTTTACTGGGATACCTATTAGGGGATGTCCGCCCCGCCCCGCCCCTTTTGGCAGCGGCCGTGCTCCAAGCAGGTCTCCCCGATGAATTCAGATCCATTGAAATCACCACGATGTTCGCAGTGACGCCAGCCACGGCAAACTGAAACGCGGTTTCCAAGTTAACCTAATAGCACCTCCCCCTTCGCAGGTCGAGCCCGACTGGCCCTGGCGAGTGCCACGTGCCTGCGGTTTGCCACTGCCTTCCTCCGGATTTGTTTACACTTCCAGTCTAGCCTCGGGCCGCCTCCAGCCAAAGGACTAAGAGGGCACAGCCCCGCTCCGCTCGCTGCTTTGCTTTTCCAGCGAGAGAAGACCTGCTGGCTCCGGGCCTGTGGAGTCCTGCCCCTCTCTTACCCGCGTCCCTGACCTGGCTTGAGCCTCAGCCTGGAGGCCTGGGCGGAGAAAGCCTCAAACCTATATAGGCTGGGATGGGTTAGGGTTCGGCTGCAGGAAAGCCAAGAGAGGGGTGCGCGTTGTCCGGCAGCCTTTCCTTTGGACTTAAAGGGCGCGGTCAAGACTGACCTCCGCTTCTCTCGGGGACGTGTACTGAGGGAACGCAGCAATATTCTGGCTATCCGCGAGTGAACTCCCCTGCGCAGCTCCCCAGACAATTCCTGCCCAGAGCGAAGAGTAATGCGAGCCCCAAAGTTCGCATCTCCCTCATTAAGATCGTGAAAGACCCACTTTTGAAGCACATATGCGGCCCCCGGGCTCCCCAAGGTTGCGCGGGCCTGGACTGCCCTGCGCCGCCCAGCTCCAGGCGACGAGGTCGAGGCCGGGCTGGCTTCCTC